ACTGATTTTGCGTAATGGATATGCACGAAAAGATTCTCCTTTCTCGTCGGGAAGACGCGGAAATAATTTCGACTCGCGAGGAATATATAAATTTACAAATTCGGAAATTGGAGATCAAGTTTGTGAATCAAAAAATTTGACAACCTAACAAAATTTCATTAGAAAGTCTGAAAACTTTGCACTCGAAGGTAATTCGACTGTTTGCAAACAGCTACCTTAAATTCAGTTAAAAAGTTAAATGATTTCTTTTAATGTTTTATTATTTCTATACTAATAATTTCAAATGTTGTTTGTTTCACTATGTTTATATGCAACACGTGTCGTATTATAGAATCAGTTAAAAAATGCTCATTTCAAATTATTGTATTAAATAAAATGGTGACTGAGAGTCACCTCTCGAGCGCAAAGGGTTAAACATGTAAAATATAATTTTGCCAGTATAATTTTGGGGACTTGGGAATTTGAGGATGTGGAAATTTGGAGATTTGGGAATTTGGGAGGTTGGGAATTTGGGGACTTGGGAATTTGGGGGCTTGGGAATTTGGGGATGTGGGAATTTGGAGGCTTGGGAATTTGGGGACTTGGGAATTCGGGGATGTGGGAATTTGGGGACTTGAGAATTCGGGAGCTTGGGAATTTGGGGACTTGGGAATTCGGGAGCTTGGGAATTTGAGAGCTTGGGAATTTGGGAGCTTGGGAATTTGAAGACTTGGGAATTTGAGGACTTGGGAATTTGAGGACTTGGGAATTCGGGAGCTTGGGAATTTGGGGACTTGGGAATTCGGGAGCTTGGGAATTTGGGAGCTTGGGAATTCGGGAGCTTGCGAATTTGAGAGCTTGGGAATTTGGGAACTTGGGAATTGGGGAGCTTGGACTACGTCCAAGCTTGGAGCTTGAACCACATATAAGTTTTATAAAATTATGAGTTTAATACAATTGTGTTGAAGTTGGACCACGTCCGTATTTCCGAAGATCGTTCTCTAGTTAGCCGGTGTGTCATAAGTACTCGTACAAGTTCTGAAAACAGTAGGATTGACGTTTCCCCGATTCTTGACTCAATAATTAGGACTTAGTCGTTGAGTCAGCGATTCGGGACAGAGAAGTTATGAGAACACTGCAAAACCAGCTTATTTGCGAGGGACTTACGTACCGTGAAAGCGTTACAAATACGGAAAGAAATGAGCCGATACAAGCGGAGGTTACGTGCTATCCCATTTTTCAAAACGTCAAAATATTTCCTATTACAGGTTTTCACTCGCATGCAAAATGCCATTGAAGAAGAATTTTATTTCTTAGAAGATTAACTCTTTCCGGGTAAAAGAGCGTCTACGGAAAGTAGCTTGCTTTTCTTTACACAATTTATGGCGGTAATTAAATTTAGACTTCTTCCATTTGTAATATTTTACTTTTTTACCCTTGTACGTTATTCTTTTTTTCGCCAGTATGAGAGTACAAATGTCTGAGCATGAGTAGACAGATTCCGCGAACGATTTTACAATTAAGGAGATGTTCAATAATCGTGGTTGAAGAATTCTTCCATTTAGTACCGCTTCGAACGATATGACGTATCGCGTCTTCCACGTGCAGAAGAATTCGCAGTATAGATTCAATATTTTATCGTGGAGGCATGGATGTTCTGTGAGAAGTATAATTAAAATTTCAAGTATAATTTTATTGAAGTCTACTGAGAAATTGTAGAAACATTCGAGATATTTTAACGATTTAATTGTGGGAAAATGTCTGGTGTGTTAGGTGATTAATACATCAAATGGCGGACTTCGACACATGTGGAGTCTAATAAAAATTGATGACATAAAAGTATCGCAAACTTGCACTTATGTTATATCAATATGAAGGTTGAAGTTCCGTCTAAATGTCTACTTAATCGTTTTATTAATATTTTTAATGCAAAATGAATTTTTCATCGAGACAAAAAAATAGACATTCAGTAAAAGGAAAAAAGTAGGTGGTCAACTAATTATTTCATTTTTAAATTTGTATTAAAAATAGTGACAAAATATTTACACTGTCGTTTAAGTGAAACTTTAAGCTTTAAATTGATATGCCACACGTGTTACTTAATAATACTTTTATGTCATAAAATGTTATTAGACCGTGCGCATTCTAAAACCCTTCATTCGATATGCAACAATGTTTCCAAGAACGTGGATTCTCCTCTTCTCCATTCTTTTAAAGATGACAAGTCTCTGCTCATGTCAAACAATAGGACAGTTCAAGCGTAGACATCAACGACCGAAGACAATCACGGAATACACCGAAAAAGAAAGAGACACTCGTCGAATCTCAAGTAAATCACGGCGAAAGTGACGGCGGGTATAGTTGCGGCTCACAGATATAGCGTGGTCGTAAAACATTTTAGGTCTTCATAGATTCAAAGCTCTCAAATTCCGAAGCTCCCAAATTTCCAAGCTTCCGAATTCCCAAGTCCCCAAATTCCCAAGCTCCCAAATTCCCAAGCTCTCGAATTCCCAAGCTCCCCAAATTCCTAAGCTCCCGAATTCCCAAGCTCCCAAATTCCCAAGCTCCCAAATTCTCAAGCTCCCAAATTCCCAAGTCTCCAAATTCCCAAGCTCCCGAATTCCCATGTCTCCAAATTCCCACATCCCCAAATTCCCAAGTCCCCGAATTCCCAAGTCCCCAAATTCCCAAGTCCCCGAATTCCCAAGCTCCCAAATTCCCAAGTCCCCAAATTCCCACACTCCCAAATAAGTCCCCAAATTCCCACATTTCAAGTCCCTAAATCCCCAAATTCTCAAACATCCACCACTGTAAATCCCCAAATTCTCAAATGTCTATTCCAAATCCCCAAATGGTGAAACAATAAGGACCTCGCTATACCGGAGAGCCGAAGTGTCCCACTAATATGCAACGACGAGCAATGACACTTTCGCCGTAAACGTTTCTTCTCCCTACAGAAGGTCATTGTACGTGTAAAAATACACGCAAGACACGGGGGGAATTCGTAATGAAGGCTGGAACAAGAGCGGCCGTGTTCAAGCCGAATTTCTAATTCTACGAGCGAAAGGGAAAATCGGTCGTAGGAAAGTTGTGCGAAAGACGCCGATGAATCGCAAGCAGCCCGACGACAATCGGCGTCTTTTCGACGCAAATTAACATTACAATATAACAGATTTCTATAGAAGTCGAAGATCGAAGTTCAACGATCAATCGAACCATTCATAAGATCGTTGATGAAACAGTGACCCATTTAAAATTATGAGATCATTTAATATCGTTTTATTTGTGTCAAGTGATCGTAAATATCTTCTCTTGTAGCATAATTATTTCCTGAAACCCGAAATGTGTCAACATAATTTTGATCGTTGCTTCATTCGTAAAAAATTCGCATTAATCTTTGACGAATATCATAAAATTGTTTTCATCGATTCTTGTTTACGTGACCACTCACTTTTTTTATCGCATTTTTACATACAGGATGTTTTTTGATGGCTTTTTCTAAACAGTCGATACGTTCGTTGAAAAAAGCTATCAAACTTCGTATGCTGTCTAAATTGCATTTACAGCATGCATTTGCGCTGCACCCATTGTCGTTGACTCAATTACGACAAAGTTAAATAGATTGCTTCTAATTACAGCCTAACGAACCATCAATTTTGCATCGTTCAGCAGCCGATAGTCATCTCGACCTATATTTATGCGACCGCTAAAAGGTAAAACGGCTTTTACCTTTTATAACTCGTAGGTATTATTATTGACAGTAATTGACTTCTTCCATATACGCAAGTACAATAACAAATAAAATACGATATTGTAATTTGACTCTTTAAGAATATTTTTATTCTGTTCATACAATTATTGGAATTCGAAGTCGAGGTGTTAATATGCAGTATAGATGCAGCGTATTATATCTTTCGAACTGCAAGCAAACTTCTCGGAGCATTTCCTGTCCCGGCGTTAAAGTCACTGAAACGGGCAGCGAATACCAAGAACCAGCATGCAGGGAATCTTCATTCTGGTCAGATTCGCGTTCAACGATACCAACAATGTTTCAGAAAACGAATGACAAGACATTTTCGAATTTTTACATTCCACAATAACGAACACGGAAGCCAAATGTTTCTTCCGAAGAATCGTCCTCTTTTTTAAATATTTTACCGTCTTTTATTCGTATAAAAATATACGATTCTACCGTCGTTAAGATCGGTATCATTGTTATAATTACACTTAATCAGTCTTTTGATACATCTCGCTTAGAACAGGAAACTAATCTTGCACGCGAATAATTCGTCGCTTCCTGATTTTCTTCGGAATAATAGCGAGGGGAAACTCGAGAAATTTTCCTCGCTATAATTCCATGAGAAAAGAACCGTTCGCCTCGAACGTCGCAGAGAGATAATTCTCTCATTAACACGCCCTCGTGCAGCGTTCAATTTAACGATAATAAACGTCAGACAACGCGTGGCTGACAACGCGGTGATTTAAACACCGAGTTCCAACAAAGAGACGCAATAAATTTTCGATCCTTGTCGTACAAGGTCTTAATTGAACTTGTCCAAACGTCTTTTTCATATTCCTTTTTTCCCCACGATCATTGTCGTCGGGTACACGTATTTTCCCGCAATTTTGCACGAAAGCGAGAATGCAGTTTCTCACAGACCTTATCGTCGCCTATCTTGAGAACCGGGTCGGATTAGTTTCAAGATCATGGCGAAAAGGTTGTTCTTTATACCTCTGCCAGATGTCACGGACGTTGTCTCCCTACCAACATTTAAATGTAGTAGCCTTTTTATTAAGGGTCTGTAAAGTTTAGACTGTCTTTGCTTTTTCTGATTCTGTATAATATTTAACACCAAACCTACTGGCATATAATGTGTACTTAATTTGAAATTAAAAATGAAGTTAAAAAATAAATAAACAAACAATGAGACATAAATTAGAACATATATTTATCCTTCATCTCGATGAAGATCAATGCTGATTTCAAGGGATGTACTTTAACAAAGTGTGTACTTTATAATCAGACACTTGTGGAGCGGTCATTTATGAAGACTCTCCAGTACAAAGATTTGAAAGTCTCAAGATACAGAGATCAAGACAATCAGGCACTAAAATTCCGAAGACCTCAAGTCTCCAAAGCAGCAAATTTCGAAATATGAACAGTAAAACATCGAGCATTCCTGGAGTCTCAAAAACTGACCTCGCCGCAAAAATATGTCCAGCAATATCGGATGGCGCCTAAGAATCGATAAGAGGAAGGTCGTTTTGGGCATCGTCGACCTTGATGAGAATCTCTTTCGATGAGTCAGCCAACGCTAGACAGTTGGAAATAAACACGCCAGGCATTCGTGCACGATTTTCACGGGGCTCGACCGCTTCTGGGGACGTCCTTAGAGCAACCGTGACTCAGGACGTTCCTGGGAAAAACGTGAATGAACGATCAAGCCTTAAAAATACCGACTGATCGCTGCAACCCGTTTGCTGCCACCATGACGGTTCAGGACGTGCGTCACACGGGGCATCCGTCACTCGTGGCTCGACGGTGTCGTCAGAGACCGAGAATACTGTGTCGTCAACGATATATGGGATGCGACGGAAAGAATAACCTGGCAGCTGCTTCGAGAGGTCATCGTCGGTAACTTATGGATCGTTCGGACTGAATATGGACCGACGAGGAGGTCGTTAATAATGCAACGATCCGCGAATAGAGACGACAATTTCGGGAACCCACGCTGGATCGATGGCGGATTTCAACTGCTTCGCATTTGGACGCATCGAAACCTGGCGTGTGGAATCTTGGGGCGGAGGAAGACTTCCATGATTGATTTGCTTTGATTCTTTTGCGGATGTAGCGGTTCGTACGTGTTTTAAATATAGGCTGGTGCTTTATCCAGCTCTTATAGGAATGTTATGGAGCTTCACACTTTTGGTACAAAGTTGACAGTGTTAATGAGCTTTAAGTATAATTACAACGTAGGATTGGAGGAAATTTAAACCAGTCAAAATAGGTTTCTATTTCAGGTTTCATGTTTGATATTACAAAATTTTATTGACGTGTGCTTTGTCATTTTCTACTGAGGTAAGAAATAGTTTATGATATTTGATGTTTCAGTTCAGCTAATTACAGAAAGAGAAACTTATGCACTCATAACTTCCACATTATTTATACTAATTATCCGGTTCATTACCATGTACTAAATCTAACTTCACTTAATTTAAATTTATATTCCTTGTATGACTAAACTTTCACATACAATAAAAGAATGCGTCCGTTTTATTAAAAGCAAGATGAAAATTGCGGTTCAAAAATCGTGACAGAATTTCTTGAAATTGATTAAACTTTCTCCTCTTTCTCCTGCAGTCGTTTGAGGCAGGATGCACGGAATATTAAAAACGTCGAAAACTGGAATTCGAGAAGAGCACATTACGTTGGTGTTTGTTGGAGTTTAGCACGATCGTTACGATGGTTATCAAATTTTTTGGACGCAGTTTCGACAAGTGGGCCGAACTTCCGCGCACGTTCGTGTTCGCTGCACGTGAGGAGCATCGCTAAACAAATTTCTGCGTTCGGTTATTCGGTCCGTTTTGCAGCGCAGAAATGTTTGACGATTAGTATTGTCAGGGATGTTTATCGACGCGAAACTGACAATAGGGTATTGATCAAGTATTGGCACCGTATTGATCAAATTGTAGTTGTATTTTATATCTTCCAACTAGTTGTACACCGAAGTTACTCAATATATTACTGAATAAAAATGGAAGTCATAAGGTAAATTTCGGTAATAAATTTAAAAAAATTACAGTGTATAATGATGGGAAGAAATGCGACAATTATTAAGGGAGATTAGCGGTCACGTCAATTAACACGCGACTCGTGATCATGCAAGGTGATTCTTGAGTGACACGATTATTCATGGGTCCGACGTTTCTGTTTCCGTGCTCATTACTGCGTTTCAGCGGGCACACGTTGACACGATCGCTTGTCATGCAACTAATAAACCTACGTGCGAGGTGTCCAACGATTTCATGCTCCTCGATCTCTTTGTGAGATCAAATGACACGTTAATTCCTTTCGCTGTAACGTCCATTGTGTAACGATCGAGTTAAAAACTGAAACTGGATAAATACTGTATTTATCATTTCAGTAATCTCCTAGCAAAACCTCGAGTATTTCGATTGATAAATGAATCCTTCATAATTAATTACAGAAAGAATGAGAAAGACGTATCGAGTCCATCAGCCGGAGAATGTCGATAGTTTCTTTTATCTAGGAAACATCCAAGGATCCGCCTTTGTAGGATTAATAAACCGAAAGAGGTTTTTGCGGGGTTATTGCAACTGAATGGAATAAAAATCCGTGGAGATGCAACTATCGAGAAGACCTGTTGCGAATATCTTTTTATATAGTCACCGTTGCTTAGTAAAAAGCAGGTTTTTCCACGTCCATTTCCGTCTACGACCAACGCGATTATCTTATTATTACATCATATACGTTTTTGATCGGATAACTGCATGTGTGTTATGTTTGTAATTGTATAGAATTGTTTCAATCGATGTAAACATCGACTAGTAAGACTCGAACCGAGTGATTTAATAAAGTTACCTTTATACAGTAACGTGGCGCAAGTAAGAAACTAAGCAATAAATTTTGAACATTTCCTTTCGTTTAAAGGAAATGATTTTGTTAGATTATTAATAGATCGCGGATGTTTATGCATTAATGATAAATCGAAGTGTACAGAATCAGCATAAATCATGGACTTTATAAACTGTTGATCTCACAGATTGTCTGGTTTATTTATACTTTCCAGACCTCGATATCCGCAATCTTCTATTTTTGGATTTTTTGGAATTAGACTAAATTTATTGATGTTGTTGTTACAGCATAAATTATAAGAAGCTGCGGTACTCAGAAGTGTAACATCATGCGTTGTAATTATAGTATCAAGTGTTATAAGTGTTGTGAGTTATATCAAGTATTGTTGAGTTGTAATATCACGCGTACCGATATTATTTGTACTATCACAATATCATGTAAGAAGTGATATGTTGTAATATTATGCGTTGTATCACTAAACGATAGATTACCACGAATTAGATGTCTGAACGTTATATCACGTTGTATTGCCACGCGTTGTTACATCACGTATCGCCATGCGTTGTATCATGCATGTATTGTTCGCGAGTTACATTGTCATGCGTTGTATCACGGATATATTGTTCGCGAGTTATATCGCCATGCGTTGTATCGCGCATATAATATTCGCGAGTTATATCGCCTTGCGTTGTATCATACGTTTTATCACACGCGTACTCAAGCTAGTTCATCAGCGTTAGTAGTCACATATCGCCGCAGGTTGCATGCTATAATAAGCATCGAATTACTACGCATCGTATCTGCAAAACCAGCTGCGTGAAATTTATAATTAAATGCTGGTGCACACCGAACGTGTCAATGCACGGAAGCATTTATATCGAAAGGGTTAAGAACCGTGCTGGCGGGATTTCGAGTAAAGAATCGAGCGCATAGAAAGAGGTGTTTGGAGTAGGTGTAGAGGTAGAAATCGCAAGCGATCGGTCGGAAAGCGATTCTAGGTGGAAGAAGGGAGGGCGCAAAAAGGGAGGGTGAAAGAGTCGTGCAAGCGGAACAACGCGATCATTTGGCACGGCAGTCGTAAGTGAACCCTCGCGACACACGCGCGACCGGTATCTTTCGGCTTTCGTTTTTTCGGCGCGAGAAACCGCGCGACTGGAGGCTGCTTTTACGCTCGAGCGTTCCTCGCGTCCATCCTCCAGATCGTGTCGTTGTGTGTGGCGTGCGTATGTGTCGGAGAGTGGGACACTGGCGCAGGGCCAGTAGGATCCACCGATATAAAAGATCTGCGGTCACGCGGACCGCGAGGCTACTCGTTTGTTCATCGTCGTCCAAGTGCAGTGAGTGGATAGCGACCCGCGCGGGCCGGTTTCGCGTGTTGTGAACTTGTCTCGGTGAAACGATTCGTCGCGCGAACACGCCGGAAAAAACTCTACCGGAACGACGACGCGAATCGCGTAGGTGCCGAGTTACGCGCGTGATTACGCCGGACATACTGCACGAGTGGATGTTCAAGATACATCGTGAGTTCCATTTTTTCATTTGCATTCACGTCTTGGTGCGAAACCAATATTCGATGTTGGATCGAAATATAACGTCAATGAGGATTTTGGGAACAAAGAATTTAAAAACAATATGATTCAGGTTTTTCATTCGATGTACTAGTGTATCGTTCAATTTTATTCGAAGGTGTTCAATAAAAGGTCAAATGATAAGAGAAAGATGAATGAGAATTTTAGAAAAATGCTACTACAATATGTTTGAGGTTTTTCAATCGATCTATTACTGTGTCACTCAATTCTGCTCGAAGGTGTTCAATGAAAGGTCAAATGATAAAAGAAAGATGAATGAGAATTTTAGAAAATGCTACTGCAATATGTTTGAAGGTTTTTCAATCGATCTATTACTGTGTCATTCAATTCTGCTCGAAGGTGTTCAATGAAAGGTCAAATGATAAAAGAAAGATGAATGAGAATTTTAGAAAAATGCTACTACAATATGTTTGAGGTTTTTCAATCGATCTATTACTGTGTCATTCAATTCTGCTCGAAGGTGTTCAATGAAAGGTCAAATGATAAAAGAAAGATGAATGAGAATTTTAGAAAAATGCTACTACAATATGTTTGAGGTTTTTCAATCGATCTATTACTGTGTCATTCAATTCTGCTCGAAGGTGTTCAATGAAAGGTCAAATGATAAAAGAAAGATGAATGAGAATTTTAGAAAATGCTACTGCAATATGTTTGAGGTTTTTCAATCGATCTATTACTGTGTCACTCAATTCTACTCGAAGGTGTTCAATGAAAGATCAAATGATAAGAGAAAGATGAATGAGAATTTTAGAAAAATACTACTATAATATGTTTGAGGTTTTTCAATCTATCTATTAGTGTATCGTTCAGTTCCCTCTGATGTGTCTAATGAAAGATTAAATGATAAGAGAAAGATGAGTGAAAATTTTAGAAAAATACTGCTTAGTGTATTATTAAATTCTGCTAGAAGGTGTCCAATGAAAGATGAATGAGAGTTTGAGAAAAATGTAATGAAAAAGTTTGGGATTCTCTCTGAATTCTATGTCCGATGTGATGCCTCGAGTATCGAAGAGGAATGTGGATCACGTCTGCAGTAGGTCTAGGTTTTTTCTCTGAATTCCACACTGTGAACCATGTGCTCGAGTAATCTTGATTGAGTATTCATTAAGTTCCATCGGAGGTGTTTGGAAAAATGTAACTAATTCAGTGTTTTTCTAAACCTTCTGCTAAATCCGAGTATATATAAAGTAGTCTAAATTACATTCGCGATAAACTATCGTTAAAGCAAACTAAGAGATATCAAACGATAAACACTTTGAAACGATATCAAAAAGTTGTAATCAAATAGTAGAAGCTTGTGTCAAGTATTTGCTGAATGATCAATTTAGAATACTTTGTACAACGTAAAGAGAATAAGAAGTCATCTTCTTTGAATTCTACATTCAATGTACATGTGGAACGAAATTATCAAAGAACAGACTCTTCTTACGTCTGGATCTTTTCTTTGAATTCTTGCTGAACTATTCGTGTATCGAAAGGAAGGAATTTTTTTATCGTTGACGTAAACTTGTTTTATGATCCAATCGTAGTACGCTGTTTACGTTCGCGATATCAACTGAAAGAATTCAACGTGGACGCGCACATGGAGCTGAAGTAGAATACCGTGTAAAATAAGTGTACACACCACTATTTTAATACCATTAATTTGACTTTTTTTATTCTCTTAGGTAATTACTCTATCTTCCAAAAATGTGCGAAAGTACATTTAAAAACTTGTACATCCGTAAATCCTCCATCCCTACATTCTAATTAACTTCATCCTTAAATCATACCCCAGATCTAATTAAGTTCGCTAAAAATTGATAAAGACATGAAAGTTGCTTTTAATTACGTAGGCAATTAAATTTCGATTTGAAGCGTTGATGATTGCGATTATTTAAACGAGACTGTAAAAAGGTAACGGAGAAACATTGACGTGCATCCGTTTCCTGGTATTCGAATCGTTTTCGATTCACGCTTTTCATGGCTTGTCAGGAAATTTATGTAACGGATACCGGTATCGGCATAGCTTCTCGTGAATCATCGTCGTATAGCGGTTCACGTGTCACGAACAATTATCGAGGGAAGGTAAAGGATCGAGTCCTTGCGTTTTCCGGCATGAATATTTATCGGATCAAATTTTTTCCCCGTTGATCGCGCAACAAGTATTTTACGAAAGAGGGGATATACCTACTAAATCGTGTCGGCGGAACGAAGTCACTCGATCGTTTACGCGATCGTGTAATCATAGATGAAAACTCGAGTGTGATCGATTTTATTGCAACTAGTCAAGATGCTTTCACAAATTGACGCTGATGTTGTTCGCAAATTTTGTACCATTTATTTATTAACTCGAGTGTGATCGATTTTATTGCAATTGGTCAAGATTCTTTCACAAATTGACGCTGATGTTGTTCGCAAATTTTGTACCATTTATTTATTAACTCGAGTGTGATCGATTTTATTGCAATTGGTCAAGATTCTTTCACAAATTGACGCTGATGTTGTTCGCAAATTTTGTACCATTTATTTATTAACTCGAGTGTGATCGATTTTATTGCAATTGGTCAAGATTCTTTCACAAATTGACGCTGATGTTGTTCGCAAATTTTGTACCATTTATTTATTAACTCGAGTGTGATCGATTTTATTGCAATTGGTCAAGATTCTTTCACAAATTGACGCTGATGTTGTTCGCAAATTTTGTACCATTTATTTATTAACTCGAGTGTGATCGATTTTATTGCAATTGGTCAAGATTCTTTCACAAATTGACGCTGATGTTGTTCGCAAATTTTGTACCATTTATTTATTAACTCGAGTGTGATCGATTTTATTGCAATTGGTCAAGATTCTTTCACAAATTGACGCTGATGTTGTTCGCAAATTTTGTACCACTTATGACACAATGATATTCTATCTTTACTTAGATTTAAAAATTACAAATTTTTTTAAATATATAAACTTTCAACTTTAGTACTATTTATGGACCTAACAGAAAATTTTTAATAAACATAACAAAGAATTAAAAAAATTAATGAATTCATAAAAGCACAAATTAAAAATTTCTAAACTGATCATAACTTGAACGAAGATTAACGATAATTAGAAATTTGCGAAGTTAACTCCTTTTCCATGAAACTGTTCTAAAAATTGAAGCGCACTTCCGAGAAACGTTCGAAACTGGCACAGACGGGATGTAGATTATTATTGTACGATGAAAGAGGGCAGACTAGGAGGGGAAACATTTCCCTGAACCCTGCACGGAAAAAGGACTTGAACTCGTTCATCATGAAAATCTATGCTCGACGATGGAAATAAAAACAAGTCATTCTACTGCCAATGATCGTCTCGTTCTCACGCGTTGAACAGTATCCGGTCAATTCCACGTTTTGCGAAAGTTTAGATTTCCGGCAGATCGATGCGTGTACTCGAGCGAGGACCATTCACGTTGTCGCCTTAATTATCCTTGGATTTGTCATTAACGTGGCAAAGATCGTCGGTGCTTTCTATTCGCCGCTTTCACTCTGATACGAGCGCAATTAATGAAAAACGACATGGAAAACGTGTGACTCGTTTTTTTCACGCGTGTCGCCGATGGGAAATTCGAGATCGAATTCCTGAGTGTTCTAGCATAAATCTTAAGATTTATACCGTTCGTACCCTGCGTTATTTATAGAGACGTTCTATTTTCTGGAGTAATCGTGATTAACTTTGATAAACATTCGAATTCCGATCAGATTTTATGCAACTGGTATACTTTTACGATGATCATGCTACGATAGAATGTTTATGCAAATAAAACACGGACATTTTCCCATCGGGTGAAGTACATTGTGGATATACGAGTTCACATTTTTTATACGATTATAAATCTGCCCTATTAGAAATGCATAAACATCCGGAGGCTGCTAACGATCCATGAATTCCCAGCGGAATCTCGATAAATCAGCGCATTAAATGTCAGATCGAGGCACGATACAATGCACTGTTCCAAATAAAAATTTTACACAAAATATCGACGCATCAACGACTGCTTCATTTTCGATAAATGACTTGTTAGTCGCCACCACCTTGAAGTACGCACAAGTATAATAAAGAAGATAATCTCCCGTCAGATATTGGACCTTAAACCGCGTGCCATCAGGGTGCAAAGTGTGGATGCAAATGAAGGTTCGAATTAAGCGTGTCAGATGTCGATCGTCGAGCAATTAAATAGAATTGTGACAAACGATCGTGCCCGTTTCGTGATTATTGCATTGAGTTCTCCGACAACCAATTGAGCAATGTGTCCTTGATTCTAAGATCGCAAAGATACGAGGTAAATTATGATCTAGAAATCCAATTTTCTTACACCTTCAGAGAAGAAACAGCACCGCTGTGTATACACGTGCTACCTTAATTCATGTCAGACCCTGATATTCACTCGAAAAAACAGAAATTGTGGTCAGGACCTTTTTCGGATAGATTAGGAGCACCGGAACCGCAACTACTTATCAACTTACGCAATGTTGCTCTTTCCGTTGACAGACGAAAAAGTCATAACCGAGCAGAGAAAGTGGCACGTCAGGCCTACGGTGGACCGTGTCTGTCTCGTGGTTTAAATGGTTTATCACGGAGAACAGGGTCGAACTTGTTTCTCAACCGGGTAGAATTAGAAGCTAGATACCTTTGGAATACTTGAGAACTACTGACATTTTTATTGTTACAAGTGTACAACTTGTTCGGGCAAGATTTCTAAGTTTGTTAACTGTTATGTGCATTTATAAAGAAATTCCGGTTATAATAAAATAAAATTCATTACAATTTTATGAGAAGAAATGTTTAAATACATCAATGACACAATTGTAACTACTTGTAACAAAGTAAATTTTTTAGACACGGTAGTTAATGTATTAACACTACCAAACTGGTCAAATGACCGCTCCACAGGTTTCTTATTATGAGGCACA